GTGTGTGTGTGTGTGTGTGTGTGTGTGTGTGTGTGGTAGGGGAGGGGGAGGGGGAAGGGGTAGAGGCTGGAGGAGGTGGGAAGTGGGGATGTAATGGGGGTGAGAAGTGGGGGTGGGGGAGGGGAGGGGAGGTGGGGGGTAGAGGTGTTTTGTAACCCCAAGTTTTACTTGTTCCATTCCCCTGTGGATCCTCATCTAGCACTGTGCTTGGCACATTCGAGAAGCTTAAGAAACCCTCACCATTGAGGGAACACTTATAAGGTTTCTATGGAAACAGTAAACCAGGTTTAATTGTCTATGGCCATCCTAATGACTGGGAAACAGGCATCCTAGATGCGCCCAGGACACACATGACTAACCGGGATGGTGGGGGTGGGGATGGAGGGGTGCTTCAAAGTCCCTTTAGTCAGTTTATTTTGTTAAACTGTCCACAAAATAGAGTTTGAGACCCCTCCACCTTCAACAAGTCCTGTTTAAATGTGGTTCTTTGCACGATTACTATATATCAATCACAGCTTTCTAAGACAAATGGATAAACTTCTGTTCAGGGTTTACTTCTATAATCCCGGCCCTCAAGAAAACAGAGGCATTTGGAGTCATCCTGGGCTAAAATGTGGGACCCTGCCTTAAAAAAAAAAAAACTGCACATGGCTACTTTCCATTGAGGTCTATCTACCAGGGGCCAGATCAAGGAGCCCAGCACCTGCATTCACTTCCTGCACGCATGCTCAAAGTCACTGCTGTGCCCACACCAGCACTTACTGAATGAGTCACACCAAGGGCCATTTTTAACCCACGCCAGTCCCAGTTAGCTCTGTTTACCTTATGCTCATGCTCCTTGCCTTCCGTTGTGCTCCCTGCCTCCTCTGTGCTCCCTGCCTGCTGCTATGCTCCCTGCCTGCAGCTGTGCTTCCTGCCTACATCTGTGCTCCCTGTCTTCTGCCGTGCTCCCTGCCTGCCACTGTGCTCCCTGCCTTCAGCTGTGCTCCCTGCCTTCTGCTGTGCTCCCTGCCTGCCGCTGTGCTCCCTGCCTGCCGCTGTGCTCTCTGCCTGCTGCTGTGCTCCCTACCAGGTGGTCATGGACTCCAACTCTCTGGAACCATTAACCCCCCACGTTAAATGGTTGGTTGTGTCTTTTGTTTTGTTTTTGATTTTCTTTTGTTCTGTTATGGCAATAGAAAAGTAAGATACAAACTGCACTCACGACGAGATGCCTTCTAACCTATTAGACCAGCAAAGAAGAAAAACGACCTCTCAGAAGCCCCAAAACAGTGAGTCACATTCCGCTGGTAGGAGTGGGGATTTACCATCCCGGGAGCCAGAGTAGTGGCCGGCTGTATTTATAACCGGTGATAGATGCTCTTCATCTTGACTGGGTTTTGAATCATCTAGAAGGCATGCTGCTAGGCTGTGAGGGTGTTTCCAGACAGGATTAAATAAGGAGAAGACCTAGCCTGATTGTGGGTAGCATCAGCCCATGGACTGGAGTCTCAGACAGAATAAAAGGGGATAAAGGAAAGAGCCAGCTGAGCGCTTCACTGCAGAGCGCAACACCTGAAAAATGTTCCCCTTGCCCGGCATTTTTCTATGATGGACGCCTCCTTTCCTAAATCATAAGCCAAAAATCCCTTCTTCCCTACAACAGCTTGGGGTCAGATGTTTCCTCAGAACGATTAGAGAAGCAAGCAAGTCGTAAACACCCCAACATCACTGGCTCCTCAACTGCCACTCTGCAAGTCAGGATTCTACAGCATGATCTTGGCATGAGGACAAGCCTCAGGCCTTCAGACACTCACACGGACGCACACACTAGCTCATCTCCTGAGACAGTGGGTGTGTAAGTGCTCACTGCCTTGCTTTGCCGAATCGTTGGCATGCACGGTAGTACCTCTTCCCCTCTCATTTTAAATTGAATTATGTCCTGGAACTCACTCTGTAGACCAGGCTGGCCTTGAACTCAGAAATCCACCTGCCTCTGCCTCCCAAGTGCTGGGATTAAAGGTGTGTGCCATCACTGCCTGGCTTCCCTCTCTCTTTTTATTTTCTATTTTATTTTAATTAATTATTTTTAAAATAATTTTTTCATTTTTTCTTTTTGTTTTCTTTCTTTCCTTCCTCCCTCCTCCTTCCTTCCTTCCTTCCTTCCTTCCTTCCTCTCTCTCTCTCTCTCTCTCTCTCTCTCTCTCTGTCTCTCTCTCCCTCTCTCTCTCTCTGTCTTTCTTTCTTTTGGAGACAGGGTTTCTCTGTGTAGCCCTGGCTGTCCTGGAACTCACTTGCTCTGTAGACCAAGTTGGCCTCAAACTCAGAGACCTGCCTACCTCTGTTTCCCGGGTGCTGGGATTAAAGGCATGTGCCCCATCAGTCGGGCATTAACTTTTTTTTTTTTTGGTTTTTGGTTTTTGGTTTTTGGTTTTCAAGACAGGGTTTCTCTGTATAGCCTTGGGTATCCTAGAACTCACTCTGTAGACCAGGCTGGCCTCGAACTCAGAAATCTGCCTGCCTCTGCCTCCCAAGTGCTGGGATTAAAGGCATGCGCCACCACTGCCCGGCTCAGTCAGATTTCTAGTACCAGGCATTCATTTTCTCCTGGGAAGTGGAAGAGTCGACCTTAACTCCAATCAGACATTGGTTGGTTACCACACACCAGCGATTAGCCATTCACGGGCATATCTTCCCACACTGGTGATTATGGTCTACATAGGGTTCATAGCTATAAGGGTATTGAAGACCCCCTCCCCCAGCAACCCGTGTGCCATCTATCAGCATGTTGAAAGCCAACTAACAGGGAGACTTCCTGGGCAATATACACTTGACTTCTCCCTGTCCTGTGACCAGTGAACATCTCTTCCTTTGCCTATATCAAATACTACAAAAACACAACAACTTAAATCCTGGAGCATCTATGTAACAGGAGGTGCAGATACTAAGGTCTAGTTCCCTAATTGGTTCTTGATTCATCAATAAAGAAGGCCGGGAGTCAGTTGCTGGGTGGAAGGTACAGGTGGGACTTCCAGGTCCCAAGAGGAAATGGCAGAAACAAGGAAGGAGAGGGACTTTTCTGCCGTGCTTTGGAGTGAGAAGAAAGTAGCAGTCACATAAGGTCTTGGGCAACTAAGGCCTGCAGCTTCTGCTATGAGTCAAGGAGATTGGCAGGGGCTGGCTGAGACTGGCCACTCAGATTAGGGCAGGAGGGGACACAGAGGTAATAATTGACGAGGGCATACCTTTCCAGGCAGGAGATTCTGCACCCAGCAACTAACTGTGCCTAGCTGGCAAGTTCTAAAATAATAAAGCTGTCTGTCTGTCCTTTATCCGCAGATTCTAGGACCTCAGGTTGAGGCTGATTGCCATTGACCACAAAACTAAGCTGGTTGGGACAAAAGGGACCTGGGAGGGGCCAGAGCATAGCAGCTGCCAGGAAAAGGCGGTAGCATGTTTTTAAAAACTACACACTACGCATATATACACATTACATTTCTATAGAAACACACTAAGTTTCTGTAGAAACTCTGGATCATCTTAATCTTCGATGTCTTACTCAAGCAACTTACCACCTTCCTGAAGGCAAATAGTGTTTCAGTTTCAGTGTGTTGCTTCCGTCTCTGGCCCTCTGTCAGAGGATCTAATTTATTCTTAGGTACTGGAGGAGTCTGCCTTATATACCACATGACTGCACCGTCACCACCACAGGCCACAGTAAGGTTATTTATATGCGGTATCAGAGTCAGGACTCAGTGAAAGATTGCTTGAGTTCTGTGTTCAGTAACGTACATGCGCGCGCGCGTGCGCACATACACACACACACACACACACACAAAGCAGAACCAATTCTAATTATTCAGTTAGCACATGGTACACTTGTTTTAAAGAGAAGGGATAACACACAGCCATAAGGCATGGGGTTTTGGTAATGCCTAAGGGTGCACATCACTACAGATATTGCCACATGGAGAATTAGAGAAGCCCTTTCTTGTTTCCTTTAACCCTTGGCATAGGATGCCACAGACACTCAGATGCCGTTAAGCCACTGAGCAAACTACTGGAAACGGAGTCTGACATAAGAAAATAAGACCACAAGTTGGGAGAAGAGGAAATGAAACATTGTTATGTTCCACTTTCTCTCCGCCGGAAAGAACTGCGTTAGGTATAGTTTTGCCACAAAGTATCTGAAATTCTATTTGACTTAAGTGCCTTGATGACTTCCTAAATGGCAGGTAGCTGCCATGTGGCATGTGGCCAAAGCTGCTGCCTGTGACACCTCCTGTCTCTACCCTGGCCTACTGGAGCCAAGTTGTTTCTCCCCCTGCTGTGATGTTACTGTGCCATCTCATTTCCTGGGAAGAAGAGATTTCGTTATTTCTCTCCTGACAGCTGTACTTTAACATCATTAAACCATATCTCTCAGGGAGGGAGGGAGGGAAGTAGGAAAGAAGGGAGAGAGACAGACAGAGAAAAATAGATAGATAGATAGATAGATAGATAGATAGATAGATAGACAGATTGATTTGGGGCTATTATTCCATTGTTTCCACATGCTTTACATTTTCCCCAATGTTAAAAAAATCCAATGCTAAACAATTAACATGTGCATGTTCATAAATATATATAGAATTATAATATATATATATATATTTTTTTTTCCTAGACACTTTAGCCTCTCACCCTTGTAAATCTTGGTGCTAACATGAACAGAAACAACTCTCTGCTCACCACAAACTAACTTCTGACTGTCACAGTTACCTGCGCCAAGGATCTTTGGCATGAAAGAAACCCATCTGAAAGCAATTAAAAACTCTCCAGAGACCTTATGATGGTTTGTATGTGCTTGGCCCAGGGAGTGGCACTAATAGAAGGTGTGGCCCTGTTAGAGTAGGTGTATCATGTGGGTGTGGGCTTTAAGACCCTCATCCTAGCTGCCTGGAAGCCAGTATTCTGCAAGCAGCCATCAGATGAAGATGTAGAACTCTCAGCTCCTCCTGCACCATGCCTGCCTGGATGCTGCCGTGCTCCCTCCCGCCTTGATGATAATGGACTGAACCTCTGAGCCTGTAAGCCAGTCTCAATTAAATGTTGTTCTTTACAAGACTTGCCTTGGTCATAGTGTCTGTTCACAGGAGTAAAACTCTAACTAAGACAGACCCGTTGACAAATCAAATGTTCCTAGCCCATTGTGAGAGAGACAGCGGTTGGTCTGGGGTGCAGCCCCATGAGAGTGCTAGCTTAGCATGTGCGAGGGCCTGGGTTCCATCCTACAGAACAAACCAGTCAAACCCAAAGAGAATCAGTGTGCTGTTTTGAGTGAGAAATGTCTTGGACATTAGTGTCTGCTGTTTGGGGAGGTTTAGGTGGGACAGCATTGCTAGGGGAAGTTGCTGAAAGTGGCTTTGAGATGACAGGCTGTAGGACACTTCCAGTCTGCTGTCTCTGGTTTGTGTTTCAGGCTGAGATGTGACCTGTTTCCTGCTCCGATGACCTGCTCCGATGCTACATGCCACCGTGGTTCCCTGTCATCATGGACTCTTACCCTGTGCAACCATAAGCCAAATAACCCCAGTAAGTTAGCTTTGCTGAGTCAGCAACATCAGCGTAATTACTAAGAGGTGTTACCTATGTTGGGTTGGCTGTGTGCTCAGCACAGTGTGCTCATTACAAATCTGGGGTTGACGTCACCGACTTCATTTCCTAAGCAGACTTCAGAGGACCTGGATTCCTGCTACTGGCCAAATGTGTGGTGCCATAAAAACAAACAAACAAACAAACAAAAACAACCAAACAAAAAACCACTTTTTTTACAACGGAATTTTCTGTTGCTACATACTGATAGCCAATAAGGCATAGCTACATGCCTTGCTAAATGTCCAGGATCTCAACAATCATCAGAAACGACGGTATACTTTTATAGTTATGGCAGATCTGAACGGATTTTCCTGAAAACCTGATTTTTTCTTTTTTTTTCTTTTCTTTTTTTTTCTTTTTCTTTTTTATCTAAGCAGTTGCATTTTTCCTGACTTCCTGGGTTCTTGAGACCTTTTTTTCCACTTGAGAGCTCAGAAGGGACACATGCAGGGCCCTTGGTCAGTCACCATGGCAACTGACAGGCTCACAGAGCCTCCTGTTGGGAGGTACAGAGGTGGAGCCCTGGTAGGTGGCCTCATGGCCTGTTAGTTTCCTTGGCAATCTTGGAAGCACCCCCCCTCCCTACCCGCCCACCCATCCATCCACCGCATACTGAGCTTGGTTAGTAGGGACGTTTCTCCTTTCTTTCCTCTTTTTCCTTTCTTTACCAGTAAAAAGGGAGCCAGGTAAAGAGACAAGGTTTCAGTTGGGGACGTAGAACATAGGGAGCGAGAGGACTCTCCCTTCTCTCTCAGCACATGACTGGCCATCTGGGCATAAACTCTAGTGGGCTACACCTGCTGTACTGGCTGGGGATGACCGCGCAGCAAGGGCTCAAGGAGCTTGCTCGGAAGCCCTTTGCAACGCACGATGGGGGCACCCTAGTGGTGCATGTTGGAAATCCTCTTCAGGGACAGGATGAGAAAGAGCTCTTCCCTGGCCAACTATCAGGAGTCCTGATCTCCAGTGAGGGAAAACCTTTGCCAAGGTGTCGGTGCCTTCATCCCTGTCATGTCCGTCAACTGTGTGGATAATTGCTACACATGCAGTTGAGAGAGATTTCTCTAAGCTCTGAGAAGATGACTCAATCCTATGGGTAAAATAAAACAGCACACTTAAGGGCTCTGTTGCTCTGCTGACCACCTCTGCTCGTGACTCGACAGAGCTGCCATTGCTTAAGCCGGTTAACCCCGTGGGCTGCTTAAGTCGCTTTCAAGCGTTTCAGTGGGAGACTCTCAGGGCCAATGGGTCCGCCTGTTTGGGAGACAGATGAAGGTCACCCGAAACAAACCACAGAGGCCTTTAAATCAGAGATCAGGGGTTTAGCGGAAGTCGCTCTCGGAAGCTGCTTTCATATAGCTTGTTCTGAACCCAACAGCTGATCAGTCTTCTGCAGCCATCTCTGCAATCCTTGAGCAGAGATTGTACTTTATTGTCCAAGCCGTTGTACTCAGCTATACAACGGTGAAGTGACAGCCGGGGTTTCTAATATCATGCATGATACAGGTTGCTTACACAGTGCCAGCCCAACCTCAGAACTCAGCCCAGGTGTTCTCCTGTCCTTTCGAGTGCCAATACAAAAGCTGAATTCCTAGTACTTGTATGGTCCAAAAAGCTAACATTCATTTCCGTTTCTAACATTTAAAATATTTTTTCACCATAGAAATAAGATACACGCGCCGGGCAGTGGTGGCGCACGCCTTTAATCCAAGCACTTGGGAGGCAGAGGCAGGCGGATTTCTGAGTTCGAGGCCAGCCTGGTGTACAGAGTAAGTTCCAGGACAGCCGGAGATACACAGAGAAACCCTGTCTCAAAACAAAATAAGACAAAACAAACAAAAAAGAAAGAAGACACACACAATGGAAACAAATGTGGAAACTTCAACAAATCCAGGCACAGTAGTGTTCCCCTAGTATCCTGACGCCCAGCTTTCTTCTCACTGGAGAAGCTCCTAACCTGTGTTTATAATCTTTTCATCTTCGGAAGTAAAACAAAAAAACAAAAAACACCTGTAATTTCAGGGCCTTATACGTTAATTGCTTGTGGCTTGTGTGTTCAGTCAATGTTTGGGCCTGAGGGTTCAGCCTTCTGGAGGAGAGATCCTCTTTGGTGGGAGGGTAGACATTGTGTGCTGTGGAAAGTCCACGGGTGATTGTCCACACGGGTGATCACGTTGGCTGAGCCCCGCAGCCATGCAGCACAGTAAGGGAAGCAGACTGCTGTGAGCATCTTTGTATATCTCTATGACTCTCATCGTCCAGACGTTACCATAAACAACACATTAACAAGGCATCTTCTCTAACCTCCCCACCCGCAACCCTGAAAGCTTATTATCTCTAGTTTAAGAAAAGGGAAACTGCCGGGTGGTGGTGGCGCATGCCTTTAATCCCAGCACTTGGGAGGCAGAGGCAGGTGGATTTCTGAGTTCAAGGCCAGCCTGGTCTACAGAGTGAGTTCCAGGACAGCCAGGGCTACACAGAGAAACCCTGCCTCAGAAAATCAAAAAAAAAAAAAAAAAAAGAAGAAGAAGGAAACTGAGGCTGGAGAGCAGGGGACTTCCTGAAGTTTGCTTCAAAGTAAAACCAGTAACAGGAGCCCAGAATTGTAGGGTGACTTTTCAGTCATTCATGTCTTCATGAAATGATGCTTAGCTTTGTAGTCAGCTCTCTTCCCAGTTAGAGCAAACTTCTAGACGAACTTAGGTTAATAGGGTTGTTATCATTGCTTAAAGTGTTGCCTTTCAAAAGCAACAGAGAGCAGCCATAAACTGTTTTGAGTTCATACAAAACCACATAAGGGGCTGGATACAGACCTGGACAACAGCCAGACAGACTGTATCAAAAACAGAACAGTGAACCCAGGTGTAGTGATACAAAATAGCAATCACAGAACTTTTTTTGTTTGTTTGTTTGTCTTTTGTTTTTTTGATTTTTTTTTCGAGACAGGGTTTCTCTGTGTAGCCCTGGCTGTCCTGGAACTCACTCTGTAGACCAGGCTGGCCTCGAACTCAGAAATCTGCCTGCCTCTGCCTCCCAAGTGCTGGGATTAAAGGCATGCGCCACCACTACCTGGCGAGCAATCACAGAACTTGAAGGATGGAGGCAGAAAGATGAGGAGCTCAGGGTCAACCATAGAGCAAGCTTTTAGTCAGCTTGGCTACCCTAGCTCACAAACAAACCCGCCACTGTCTGCATGGATGGATTGGCTGCTTTCCCTAAGCCAGGCTTGGAGGCTGCCACCTGCTTTCCCTCCAAACACCCAGCAAGACCAAGAATAACTCTTGTATTAACCAAAATGACCTACACTTGACTAATAACGGGCAGCTTTCCTCATTTTTATCCTCATTTTAAACTAGGAAGAACCGGGAGCTGGAGAGAAGGCTCAGCAGTTAGGAGCACTCCCCAAGTAGGATTCCCATCACCCATGTGGCCGCTCACAACTGTCTGATGCTGTCTAGTGTGGTGTGCAAATGCCCATGCAGACCAAATCATCTACATAAAATACATAAATAAATAAAATCTTAAAAAAAAACCTAGGACCAACCAAGAAAGCCAAATACATATCCTGGCCAATATGTAACCTCCGGTTTCAGGAACCCAAGACCAAAGATACCCCTTCTCTCTACGAGGGACCATCTGACTCTGTCTGTCCTTGTCCTCCCTGGAAATACAGGCGATGGTCACTGACTTCATTGCCACAGAAGACTCAGAATAAACAGCCTTTGCTCGTCCTAGTTAGGATGGTTTAAGTTTCTCATAGAAATGTATATTCTGTTGTAAAACTGAAAGATTCAACCCCACCCTATTTCTTTCTGTCTCAGCCTTCCCCATGGTGCTCTTTTTGCTGTCTTCACACAGTGAAAGATGCAAGAGCAGAGGACAAATCATGTGTTCTCTGATGTCCTCTGATGGCAGAGGACAGATTAATAGGAGGTGTGCTCCAGGGAGCCCCCTGAATGATGTCTGGATATCAACAGCACCTGGTGAGGGGCTAAATCTTTTAAGTGCAGACTCCATTTTAGAAAACCTGGCCTAAGTTTTAACTCAGGTAAACTAACAGGCTGGTACTAGCATTAGTTTCCAAGTTGCCCCCCAACAAAACTGGAGCCTATCTCCAGTCTCTAGGCTAATCCCCAACAAGACCAGAGTTTCCAGATTACACCCCCAACAAACCTACACCCCCAGATATGAGTCCACCCACTGTGTAATGACCACCAATGCAGAAATTGAATTTATGATATGACTCCCAGCACCAGCCAATTATATTAAAGGCCACAGTAGCTTTTCAAATAGATGCTTGCACACGTATTCCCTGCTTACTGCTTACTGATTACAGAGGCTGTTTGGCTGTGTCTATGGAAATCAGCACCGTGTGTGTGTGTGTGTGTGTGTGTGTGTGTGTGTGTGTGAATCGGAACACTGCATGCACATCAGGGCACATTCACATTTTTACTTGTCCCAAGTTACGGTTTACATTTTGTCACATGAGGAGACAGCTCTTTAACCAATCTTTGAGGGGGAAAAAGGTGTGTTGGTGTGCTTTCACATGTGGAGAAGCAGGTATTCCAGGGAGCTGGTTGGGCTGGACCAGGCAGAAGTAGGGACTGGAGGATTGGGCGGTTTGGTTTGTTTGCAATGTAGCTAGAGCAGGGAGGGGGAACTTGGGGACATAGAGGGAGTCTGTATGCGCTTGGGTTTCTGCACAGAGGAAACTGAAAAGCTGTTAGGAGGCCAGATACTGAGACAGAAAGTCTAGCTTAGTTGAGGAGCAGGAAGGTCTGAGCCTGGGATGACAGTTTAGGGGTGGGAGGGGAGTCAGAGGGGCCTTGCAGGGTGGAATGTGGCACTGGAGGGACCCCAAGAGGAGAAGCCAATCTGTAAGGGACAGTCAGTGTGAATGAGTGGGCCTGTATGTGTGGGATGACAGGCTGGTCCTTTGAGAGAAGCCTGCAGCACCAGAGGACAGAGCAGAATGAATATAGGTCCCCTGAAAATGAGAGGCCAGAAGTAACCCGAGTTGGCTGAGATGCTAACCCCTGACCCGGGTCCGTGTGCATGAGCATCTGCCGAAGTGATCAGAGTTCATCGCTCCAGTGTATACGTGTTGACAGGAAACAGACAAGACTCAAGTGTACACGTATCGAGAGACCACAAACATCTCAGTATAGAAGAACCCGGGAGGGTCCTTGAAGCATCCATAGAGGACCCAAGGGACTGAAAGGCAAGGCTCAGAGTTGAGATGCACTTCTCGTTCTAATGGGGTCCCCTTTCTAGGTGGTTCCTTGTAGAATCCATAAACCAGATCATTAAGGACATTCCAGAGGCCAGTGACACTGCCGAGGTTAGCTGGCCAGATCTGCGTGGGTACCAAGACTGCCAAGGTCCCGCCCCCTCCTCGTCCCGGGCGGTGATTGGTAGAGATGTCCTCCCAGTTGCTAGGACACTATTCCAGCCCTTGGCTCCTCCCACGCTTCTCTTGCCGCCCTTTCCCGCCACCCTTTCAGGCGGAGAGCCAAGTGGGGCGGGCAGCGTCTCCATGACGACGCGGGACGCGAGTGGGGGTGGCTGGTACCTGCTTGATAGAGACGCTGCTCCGGAGATCCTGGCTGAGACCAGATCATGTCGGACCTGGGCTCTGAGGAGTTAGAGGAGGAGGGAGAAAACGATCTTGGGGTGAGAGCTCCTGACCAGGGAGGGGCTTCTGGGGTGCGTCGCAGCTCCGGAGCGGGAGGCGTGGGGACCAGAGGGCCGAGAGGCTGGGGACAGGACCACACCGGCCACACTGGCGGCGCTGCGTCCAGGAAGTCGCTCTGAAAGGTGAAACGCCGTGACGTCTTGTTTCCACCCCCCTTCCCCGCTCCCATCCCGCCTCCCATTAAAGGCGAAGATTTCTAGGGAGAGGGCGTTGAGTAAAGAGATAGAGAAGGTTGGCTCCTGACAACTCCCGCACGGTGCTGCTGAGGTGCCACAAGGTTTCACCATGTGGGTCTGGAATCAGTTTCTCTGTACCATCCCAAGCCATTGGACTCACTTCCCTAGTGAGGACAACAGACGAGAGGCAAAATACTCACAGCCAATGATGTGCTCCTTCGTGAGTGCATTGTGGGCCGGCTGTTTATCCTTAAATCAGAGGATGACCACGCCCTGGCTGACAAAGTGGTGAATAGGCCTGCTGGCTGTAAGCAAACCAGAGAGTTTGAGCATCAACTGAAGAGCCCTGCCCCTGCTCTGTAATGCAGTATTGGTACCTCCTCAGACCTCTTTGCAGGCCCTGGGCACCCCCTCTTAGCTTCTTCATCTATGGGCTGGGGCAGCCTGGTCAGTGCGAAGATGCAGGAATGCTTTGGAGTCCCTTGCTCCCAACACCAAGGAACTAGTGCAAAGAAGCAGGACACTCTCGAGTGTGAATCACGATATTGCACCTGAAATTGCAACATGCACCCTGGCTTAGCTGCCTCTTTTCCAATCCCGCAGAGCTTCTCACTGGTTTCTTAGGATTCTACTTCCAGGGGGAAGATGCCTCAGTCAGTAAAGTGTTTGCTTAGCCGCATAAGGACCTGAGTTCAGACACAGCTATCACGTAAAAAGCTGGGGACAAAAGGATCCCTGGAGTGCGCTGGCTGGCCAGCCTAGCTGAATGGGTGGGCTCCGGCTATCAGTGAGAGACCCTGTTTCAAAAAATAAGGGGGAGAGACT